TCTCAAAGCATTGCTGGAAATGCAGGGAATAAAGAAGAAAGGTGATAAACATCTGCCTCCATGATAAGGAAAAGTCAGAAGTGTTTCATGCAGAGAGCAGTGGTCTGGAGCAATTCAAAGGATGGACAGAAATGTGGCAGAAAAGCCATCAAATGTTATTTCAAACTACCTGCTGCAGTCATATGAATTTAGATAATATGCCAGAGGCCTTGTTCATGTGTGCATTTAGGGCCTGATTTCTCCTTGCACTGGGCAACTTTCAGCTCTGTGCAGGCTCCAAATACTGAGCAGCACTTTGCTCATTTTCTCCTGCTGTCCAGCCCTGGAGTGATCTGAATGTCTCTCCCAGGAGCTTCTCTGACTCTGGGTTGCTGCAGCCAGCTCTGGATGTCCTTGGTGACTCCCCAGCTCTCTGCCAATGCACTCAGGTTCTTGGCAGCCAGGTTTCACTGCTGGCACTGCCATTCTCTGCTGCATTTCTCAGGGCGATGCAGTTCTCAGAGTGAAAGGTTATTGTCAGTGTTGTTAATGAGGCATTGCCCTGCTACTTTTTACTTGAGATTTATTTCTGTATAATATTTCTAGTGGAAGCTGTTAGAAAAGACCTGAGTTCAATAAAAAATTTCAAATAAGATGTCAGCTCCATAAAAAGACAACACTGAGATGAGATAAAATGGTATTTCCCCATTTCAGTGAATTTCACAAAATGCCCCAGGATTCACAGGCCCTTCTCCACTGTCTCTTAATCTGCTCAGACACTGATTTGCCTGAAGAGCTATAAATCTTACCACTGGTGTCTTTCTGTAGTGGTAACATCCATGAACGCTGGCCTACACCTAATTCTTGAGCGAAAGCCAAAATGAAGGATGCTGTTTTACCTTTTCATTTTGCCAGAACTGCCATTCTTTTACCAATGAACTGGCAACCCACAGTAAATATTACACAGTCACCTTTTTTGGGGTAGGGTAGGTCAAGTATTTGACAGCTGAAGCATCGAGGAGAAGGAACTAGAGCAGAAATGCATCCAGGTCAGGAATTCTGCCTCCTGCAGCCCCTGGGCATGGCTGGGGAATGGGTACACACAGAGCAGCCCCGTGGAGATCATCCCCTTGGGCTGCTCTCACACTCAGAGCTCATTCTGCAATCCCAGATTTATGGACCCACAGGCAGCAGCTTTGCTCTCAGCGTGCCTGACTGCTTCCTGAACCCTGGCACCTGCAATGTCCCATGGGGAGGAATTCCACAGCTCCCTTGTGCCCGGAGAGAGGAGACACCTTGTTTTGGTTGCCTTGACGTTGCCACCTGCCAGTTTTATTTCCTGCTCCTCGATTTTTCACAACAGCCATTTCCTCTCAATATCTTAAGGACAACTGTGACTATAAATATCTCCCTCACACCCCTGCTCAGCCATCTCTTTTCCAGACTTAGAAATCATAATCTCTGTAGTTTTCCTAAATATGGAAAATGTTGCAGCCTTTCATCATCCTGCACCTTTTCCTGTTTTACTTCATCCTTTTATCCTTGTAACCAGTTGTGGTAACCAGAACTACAAGCAGTCCCCAGGATTGGGGGATGTGATGGGTTTATATTGAGGGTCTGAGATCTTCCTTCCCCCAAAATTCCATGGCTTTAGTATTAGTAGCACTGGGCAGACAAGAGTGCAAAAAACTCACAGTGACTGACACTGTGATCTCTTGGCAACAGCAAAAATGAACTTGCTTTGCTTGACCACATACTTTTTGGTATAAATTCACATCTACATGCACACAAATATTTAGTGAATTCTGTGGGGCTGCACAAAGGGCATTGTGGGGAGAAAAAAAAAGCCACAACAGATCCCACAGGACATCTGTCCCTGAGCTTTGGTTGGAGAAATGTTCTTAAATGCTTTGGCCTCTGTGACCCTGCTCAGGTCAGACCCAGCACATGAAGAATTTCTTTCTGGCCAGGGCAGGAATGTAGTGTAGGAGTGTTCCTGCATGTGCCTTGTGCTTCCACAGAATCATGGAATCATTAAGGCTGGAAAAGACCTCCAGGAAGATTGAACCCACACATTAACACAGCACCTCCATGCTCACCACTGAGCCATGTCCCCGAGTGCCACACCTGGGCATTTCTGAACACTCTGGGGTGGTGACTCCACCACTGTCCCAAAATCTGGAAACCCTTTCAGGGGAGAAATTCTCCATAACGTCCAACCTGACCCTGCCCTGGCACAGCTTGGGGCCACTTCTTGCCCTGTCCCTGTTCCCTGGCAGCAGAGCCCAACCCCCCCGGCTGTCTCCTCCTGGCAGGGACTTGTGCAGAGCCAGAAATTCACCCCTGAGCCTCCTTTGCTCCAGGCTGAGCCCCTTTCCAGCTCCCTCAGGAATTCTCCAGCCTCTTCCCCAGCTCCGCTATCCTGGGACAAGTTTCTTTCTCTTTCTTTCCACGAGATAAATTCAGTGGGAAGAGGTGTTTCCCCCTTTCTCTGGGAATAAAACGAGATTTAATAAATACTTCGGTTTAACCTCTGCCGGGCAGCTGCCGGCAGAGGTCACCGTTGCTGTAGCTGGGCTGGAAGGGTTGAGTTTCCCGGCTTTTATTTGCCTCACATTTGGGATTGACAAATATTTCTAACCCCACAAATCCAGCGCTGACTGTTGCTGTTAGAGCACTGAATCTTTTGGAATGAAACCATCGATTTTAGTAACCCTTTATCTTTTCTTTTTTTTTTTTTTTTTTTTTCTCTTTATCAGCAGTTTGTCAAATGGAGATGAAAAAAATCAAGGATTTCTTTTAACTTCTTTAAGTTACTAGTATTTTTTCCACGTGCCTTTAATTTAAGTTAGTAATGCTAATTAGTGCATATTCAATATTCTGGTAGTCCTAAAAGCATTTTGTAAGGAAACAGAAAACAAATTAATAGAACCTGTTCTTAAAGGAACATTTATATGGCCAAAGCCATGGAGCAGTAGGGGAATTTATAGGATTTATTCTATGGATTGAAACAATCTAGTTTTTAATGTGGTCTATTTGACCACATCCTTGTTCTAGACATCTCATTAAATAAAGATATTTCACACTTGAAAATGCTAATCTGAATATGTATTTTAGGTATTTTTCTAAACTGATTTTTAAAAGCAGTATCTTGTGGTTATTTCATAGGCTGCTCAGTTACCCTATGAAGTAATTGTTTATTTAGCATATGGGTTAAAATGATGCTTGTGCTCATTGTAACTCTCCCCTAAGTTTAAATGAAGACATGTAAAAAGATAATTTCAGATTTCGATGGAGGAAAGGGGCACTGCTCAGCTACGAGGATGAGGAAACACAGCCACAGTTACTTTCTTTCCCACCTTGTTGGGAGGGACAGATCCCTGCGGGGTGAGTGGCTGGGATTGATCAAGCTGTGAAATCACTGGTACTGCACAGATGTGTCAGGGACTCCTCTCCAAACCCCACTGAGATTTGCTTTAAAATGATTCATATCTATGATTATTAATACATTTAAAGGCCGAGTCTTTCTTATCATACTTGAGAACTCTCCAATATATTTGATTCTTCGTTTCATCCCTGTAGCCTCTTGGGGAAGTGCAGAAAATATTGTAACCCTCTGAATTTCAAACAAAACTGCCTGAAATTGCAGTTGGCAGGGGGATTTTAAAAGCTTGTTTTCCACAATATCTGAATCAACTTAGAAGTACCACAAGCAGGAATGTACAGACAAAGTCAGCTCCCTCTCTGTCTTATTGCAGATAATTGTCCCATTTTAGTTTGGCTTAGCAAAAGAAGTGCCCCAAAAACTTTATTGTGATACTCTAATGCATGAAAACATCCATAAATTATCCGTCTAATAGTCACAATGCAACTTCCAAGTTGTGACAACTTGGAAAACCAGCCTGACAAGCACGCTCACTTTTGGTGTTTTTCTAAAACTTCTTGATCTTTATAAGGAGAATTTAAAGTGAAGACAGAACTGAAGTACAAACACTTTTTGTTCTCAGCACACAAATTCCTTCTGTCTCCCTGCCTGGGTTCCCCATTTTTATCTGTGAGCAGTGTCTCAGCTAAAACAGTGTTATCACCAGCCATAAATCAATAAACATTGTCAGCTCCATCCTGTCACTACGCACAGGCAGCAGGGAGGTCGTGAGCTTTTCCAAGTGGACATCCCAGAGGAGATAGGGTCCCTAGTGAAGTACTGCTCTGTCTGCAGCTAAAAGGATCCTGCCTTGGGTCAGTCACGCTTTGATTTAGCAGAATCCCTATTTATTTATATTAGTAAAGAAAGAAAGAAAGGAGTTTTTATCTAGAGTAGAATTATCACTGGGGAGGAAAAAAGGAAATAAGAAAGCCTCAATATTCAGAACAAAGCCAGTAAAGAATTTTCATATAGGTGTAACTGCTGTAGAATGCAAATAAAACTAAGCTCCCATATACCTGGATAAAAAGAGTAAGAATTCTTGCATTTCCCTGAGATTAAGCTGCTCTCGCTAAAGATGTTTTTCAAGCCTTAAACTTATCCACAGCTGCCCCACCAACACCTTCCAGATGTGCGTGCAGCCAAACCTGCCCAAGCAGATGCGATTTTCGGTTTCCCCGAACCACGCCGCGCTCGCAAACGCTGCTTGCAGGCAGCGAGCTCTCCGTGTGGCACAGACATCCCATCCACGCCTCCTCCGTGGGGCCAGAGCCAGCGCTGGGCACCGCACCTGGGCGAGCACAGGGCACGCACCCGGTCCGAGCTGGGCACCGCAGCCGGTCCGAGCTGGGCACCGCACCCGGTCTGAGCTGGACATCGTACCTGGGCGAGCTCTGGGCACGCAGCCGGTCCGAGCTGGGCACCGCAGCCGGTCCGAGCTGGACATCGTACCTGGGCGAGCTCTGGGCACGCAGCCGGTCCGAGCTGGACATCGTACCTAGGCGAGCTCTGGGCACGCAGCCGGTCCGAGCTGGGCACCGCAGCCGGTCCGAGCTGTGGCAGCCGCGGTCCGGCCGGGGCTGGGCGGGTCACTCACCTCAGAGCCCGAGCGCTGCTGCCCGGGGGCTCGGCGCTGCCCGAGCGGTGTCCAGGCTGCTCCGCTCTCCGTGGCAGCCCTGTCCTCGGCCCCTGTGCCCGGCCCGCAGAGCCATTCACATTCCCGCTGCCGTCGCAGCCTCATTCAGCGCTCGGGGCTCCGCTCTGATTCACAGCGAGCCGGCTCCCTCTGGGTCCTAGCGCTGTGGACGTGTGGGAGCTGCACGGACTCGCAGGAATTCAGGCCTTGGCTCGCTGCCGAGCGCAGGCAGGGATGCACAGATGTGCGGTGAAAGTTTCAAAGCGTGGCTGCTCGTGTGAGTGCGCTCGCAGAACGCGCAGGGAACCCTCCGGCTCTGCGGTGCCGCTGGCAGCGACTGAAACCCTCTGCGAGGGATGTTTTGTCCTCAGCCTTTCCACTCTGCATCCTAAGCCTTGCCCTCAATTTAAAGATGAGGGCTCCCAGAGCGAAACTCCCAGCTCCCTGATGAATGGGTCCTTTAGAAAATCATCTCCGGAGCCCTTTGCTCGTCTCAGGAACGTGGAAACAAACCTGTAGGAACACCAATGGTTAACTGGGGAAGGAGTGGACTGGCAGAAACTGTGCAGTCCCCATTATCAGCTGGCTTTAACTGAGGTCAGCCAAGCACTGGTTGAGAGTAGCAAAGAAATATTTGACCCTGACTTGAGGCAGAGGAAAAGATTATATAAGAATCCTTCCAACAGAAATACTCTGTGTTTAACGCACTTACCTTCAGCAACAAAGAGATATAGAAATTGTTTTCCAGCGTGATTGAGGAGAAGGATTAAGTAGTTTACAAGGGAACAACAGTGGGATTTAGGCAATGGTAAATTTAGAAAAGAAATGTAAAAATTTGAAACTCTGTAATACATATATATAAAAGGCAATTTGGTTAAAAACTCTACTCTCAAAAAATTTGGCAGCTCTGTTGAGGATTATGAAGCAGACCCTTAGAATTTCATAGTTCTTGTTCTGGCACAGTGGAACCTTTGTGATTATACAGACCCAAGGGAAAAAAAAAATTAAAAGCAGATCATTTTATCTAAGTGGAAGTAATCAAACACTTTTTGATTCCGTCCAGGAGAGGGCAGCCAGCTGGAGAGATTGGTCTTTAAATCCTTTGGGAAAGATTTGTGGAAGGCACTACGTAAAGGCGAAGAGCAAGGAGGCAGAGAAGCCTTGAGATAATCAAGTTATTTGCCACAGGGATGTGCTGCTTTCTGAACCTGGAGCACCCATGTCTTCATGTTTTATTACCACCAGCAGAAAAGCCTTAAATTTCTTCCCCACAGAGCCAAAGTGGCTTCAGTGCTAGATTGATTCTTGAAGGTGATGTGTGTTTAAAATTGCCTGGAATATCCTTTCAGAGATTGCAGCACAAAATGCTGAACATGAGTGCTGAAATTGCCTTCCCCATTTGCCAGGATTATGCAGATTGCTCTGTTTTTCTCCAAGAAAAATGCTTCTGCATGTGATGGCAGTCACAGGCCAAAGTGTGTCTTCATTTACAAAGGGAGAGTTTCTTCAGATGTTGCCTGCAAACCTTGACCTCGGGATTTGGCCAGAGCCTCAGGGTGCATGGCAGAACTGCCAGGCTCTGCTTGTGCTGAGCATTTGTCTCGCTTCATTAGGACATCCTCAGATTAGGACTTTGTGCTAGAAAATTGGAAAGAGCCTTAGAGCCCATTGTGGCTGCAGCAAACAGCATCAGATGAGAGCTATAAAATGTTAGGATTTTTCTTTTCTTTACATGAAAGTTAGCGCACACTTGTGTTGAGCATCTCTAAGAGTATTTCTTGGCAAAAGCTGTTTTTTCTTAAAACTGTGTCACAAAAGCTCGTTTGGACACAGTAATCAACAATACATTGTGTTTGTACTTAATCTGTATCACCAGCACTAATTTCTGTCCTGAAGAAATCCTCCTCTTGTCCCACATTCTTGTCCCTCCTGAGCTCACCCCAGCAGGCTGATGTTAGCAAGCAGCACAGCTGGGATCCCTGGGAAGAAGAAAGAGCTTGTCTGATTTTTCTGACGTTCCCATGTCACCCAAACAAACACCAATTCAGCTTTTGGAGAAGGTGTGGCAGCAGTGCACAGAGGAATGTCTGATCCCAGGGTGCTGCTGTGCTCGGAGGTGAATCCTTCTTCAGCAGTGGCTGGAGGCACAGATTTAAAGAGGAAAGCCTTGCTCAACCCCTCCATGAGCTGAGGGCTCTCTTCCTTTGGCAGGTCACTGGTGCAAGGTGAGGGATTGGAATGTTAGGCTAAGTAAGGGAAAGATGTGCTCTGGAATCAGATAAAGAGTCTTGTGAGCACAGGATGAATGAATTCTGATTCTCTACTGGTTTGCATCCAGTTGTTTCTCTGCTTCGATTACAATTTAAAGCATCCCATGATCTCTTGGATGAGCTTCTGTGAGAAGCTGTGGCTGCCCCAGCCCTGGAAGTACCCAAGTACTTGGGACAAGGGATGGAGGGACAGGACATAGGGAAGGGCTTCCCACTGCCAGAGGGCAGGGATGGATGGGGTATTGGGCAGGAATTTTCCCTATGAGGATGGCAGAGGTGCCCAGAGCAGCTGAGGCTGCCCCTGGATCCCTGGAAGTGTCCAAGGCCAGGCTGGACAGGACTTGGAGCAGCCTGGGATGGTGGAAGGTGTCCCTGCCATGGCAGGGGTGGAACAGGATGAGCTTTAAAGTGCCTTCCAACCCAAAATGTTACACAATTCTATGGATTCCTCCTGGAATCTGTGTCCTTTGAGCTACTGAAAGTCTCAGAGAAGACATTTGGGAAGAAGTGTCTGGGCTCTTTTTGTTTAGAAGAAACAGCCTTCGAGGAAAAATGTTGCTTTTGATGAATCCTCATTTATTTCTGAAATCTGTGTGGGTTTGGAAGCAACATGGGTGAGTACAGCTGCTGTTCATAAAATCTTGGCACTTTAGAGAGGTGTCAGGTCACTGAGAAAGGGACCCACAGAGCATCAAACAGTTTTCAGAGATCCTGTAAAAGTATAAAGGGATGGAATGAGCTTAACAAGTTTTATTTCCTTCAGAGACACTTATTTAAATGTGTGCATGCATTACATTCAATACTTCCTTGTAATGCTAAGTCTTTACATGAGAAAAGATGTATCACAAGTAACCCTCTTCCCCTGCCTGTCCTGGGGGTGCTTTGATGTGAGTGGGAGGAGGAGTTAAAAGCAGCTCAAATTGAACACTCAGAGTGGAAGATGGTGTCTGTTTTACCTGAAAGAATATTTACCTTTTACACTTTTACATTTGCAGGAAGCAGAACGCTGTGAACTTGTGTAAACTTGTCTGAGAGCTGTTCCCAGGGCTAAAGTGAATGGAAAGAGATCACAGAATCCCAGACTGGTTTATTTTGGAAGGGACCTTAAAGCTCATCCTGTTCCACCCTGCCATGGGCAGGGACACCTTCCACTATCCCAGGCTGCTCCAAGCCCTGTCCAACCTGGCCTTGGGCACTTCCAAGGATCCAGGGGCAGCCACAGCTGCTCTGGGCACCCTGTGCCAGGGCCTGCCCACCCTCACAGGGAAAATTCCTGCCCAATATCCCACCTATCCCTGCCCTCTGGCAGTGGGAGCCATTCCCTGTGTCCTGTCCCTCCATCCCTCATCCCAGGTCCCTCTCCAGCTCTCCTGGAGCTCCTTTAGGCTCTGAAAGGGGCTCTGAGCTCTCCCTGGAGCTGTCTCTTGTCCAGGTGAGCACCGCCAGCTGTCCCAGCTGGCTCCACAGGAGATATTAAACCTTTCCAACTCAGCTGAAGGAAGCTCACCCATGTTTGACTGAGTAGAAGTTAACCAGGAGACTGGAAGGAATGATCACAATGCAAATTCTCTTCTTGTGTTCATTACAGAAAGTGAAAAAGTTGATAGAGGAACTGAGGGTCTGCTTTGCCTTTGGGGGTTTGTGCAACACCACTGCTGGGTTGTGGGGAGGGGAGACATTTCCAGAAAAAAGCAGAAGCTCACTTATGGGTCATGAGTAAATGGGTCAGACAAACAAGTTGATTACTGATTTACTGTAGGACTCAGTCTCCTGTAAATATTTTCTTAACTGTCTCTGCCTCATGGCTTTCACAGCTGAGTCGATACCACATAGGGAATGCAGCTTGGGTGCGTCGGAAAATCGATGGGAACACGATGCAGTTCCAACAGCCTGCAATCCAAACCGGGCAGGGAGACAGCCACTCATCTGTGCTGGATTGCTGAAGTGATTTGCACTAATCCTTTCTTTCTCTTTCATTTGGTTCTATACTGCACAGGAGAAAGAAACCCTTTGGCTCTAAATGAAAACATCTCAAAAGCCTGAGCTGACTAAAAGCAAAATGTCTGGTGATGGTTCAAGTGCTGTTACAGACAGAACATAATTGTAGTGGCAGTGACATATAGACAGAGCTCTGAGAAAAACTTCACATTCTGCTTCAGACTCTGCACAGATTTGGCCTGACAGTCATTTGAAGAGATAACAACTACTATCATTTTTTTCTGGACTGCACAGACTTGCATGCAATACATGCTTTATTTAATATATGTTTTTGTTAATGGCTCTAAACTGAAAGAGAGTAGGTTTAGATTAGATGTTAGGGTGAATTTCTCTCTGAGGGTGCTGAGGCCCTGGCACAGGGTGCCCAGAGCAGCTGTGGCTGCCCCTGGATCCTTGGAAGTGTCCAAGGCCAGGCTGGACAGGACTTGGAGCAGCCTGGGATGGTGAAGGTGTCCCTGCCCATGGCAGGGTGGAATGGGATGGGATTTGAGGCTCTTTTTAACCCAAACCATTCTGTGTTTCTGTGATTAATTCTCAGCTATTCATTGGCAGAGAGGATGAAATGAGAGCGTATATGCTATTTAAAATATTAGAGGTACTATGGATTTTGAGAATCAGCACTCAGATGTTTATTCCATGCTATTCTGTGAGAGGATGAATATTTTTAAGAATTTCTGCTTAGTAGCTGCAAAGTTTTTTTCCCAGGATTGAGCTTTTTGCACTTGGCTGAGCCAGACTTGGGTTGAAGTCTGAGTTCTCCTTGGAAACCGTTGTTGGTCAGAGTTTGCTGATGGTGGATTTTGTTTGAGGTCTCTCTTCTTGGACAGAAGCTGCTCT